CCCTACTTGATGAATTCTTCAAGGAAGAAAAACACAGGGCAGTCTCAGTGTTCGTGCAAAGGTGCACGCCAAAAATAGGGCCATAGGAAAGCTCCTAATGAGACATATACAAGAACTCATGTTGTTGACAAAAGAAAAGATCAAAATTCACATCCAAATTATAAGAAGGCTACTTGTTGCAAACACATTGCTTTCCTATTCAGAATTTAGTGAAGGTTAAAGTTAAAATATCATCCAAAGAATTTTCTCCAACTATAGCTTACTGAAAACCTGCGGACAATAAGAATTTAAATCTCATGATAAACTATGATGCTTTGCTTCACTGGGCATATATTTTGCTCACTTTCTCCTTAAAACAATATTTACTATCAAGTTCCAAATCCATGTCGGCATGAGGCATAAGAAAGAAGAAAGTGAGTTATTTTATAAAGCATTATGGTTCAACACATATGCATACGTATTGACATTTGGGTCCCACAAATCATACATCACAGGCAATTAAAAACAAAGTACACCTGTCTTATCAAGTGCTGATTTTCAGATTTACTAACATTAAGTCCCCAAGTGCATCCAGCAGATGGTGCTCTAGGACACCTACAGTTTGTGTTGCATCTACCTTAACTTTGGCAAGACAAAGAATAAGGATTATCAGTGGCTTCCATAAAACATAGTAGGCTTTATGATAAAAAGAACATAATTCCTAAATCTGTGCACAAAAATACATATGCATAAGACGTGCACAAAGGTAACCAGTAAATATTTCACACCTGGATGATACTACTTTTGTTATGGACTTGATGAGTAGTCTATGTATATCTGGTATTTATGCTCATATGGCAAGATCATTCTAAATTCATTAAAAAAAATTTAGAATGCCTTAAAGTTAGAATTCATTTTTAATTATAGCAAGAATGCCTCATTAGGGTGATACTAGTAAAATTAACAACAGTAGGATTTACGGTAATGACTTATGTGATTGATGAGAGTATAACAAAATGAAGTTTTAGACAGAGAAAGAAAGCAGGGCAGCTATGGCATACAGTACTTTAAAAAGCAGCTCTGTGGTCTGTTAGTGCTAGCCTTATGGTTAATAAAACCTTCTTTCTAATTAACGGTGCTGAAATATTCTTAAAAAACAGAATCCCGGTGTTACTGAAAAAAAAAAAAAAAAAAAACTTAGCCTTTTCTTTCTTTCAGAAGACGCCATGCCCATAAAGAAGAAAGCTGACATAGATTAGCATGTCTGATTGCAACGAGGGGAAAAAAATGGCACCTTTCAATCAAATCAAAAACAGAACGTGAGAATGGAGAACAAAATACTATACACACAAATCTACACGACACCCTCACAGTCAGCAACCATTTACTTCTAAAGCTAATCAACTGTGGCTTTTAAAAAAAATCACTTAGATAGCTAAAAATACTTAAATACTTTCAATAAGTATTTCATTTTAATTTTATGGTATATTAGTACAATATAAAATAGAGGATAAATAACGATTTTGGAGATTCTTATCTTGCTTGTCCCATCATTTCAAAGTTTTAAAATATTTAATTGTCAACTGAATGTATTGGGCAGCATTTTCTCCATTTTGAAGGAAAAAGGATTATCCCGGGAAAAGCATTTTGGTGGGCCAGATTTGGTTCAAAAAACACACAGAGTGGTCAGGCAGAGATATGCTTCCAAACAAAAACATCTTTCATTGAAATGTTCTTGGTTGATTTTATTTTTAAAAGGCAAAACTAAATGGAATCCTCTGTTAATTTTCTTTTCCTGGAGAAACTGCATTTCCCAGGAGATAACCCACTCAAGACAACAGACGTAGAGGAACCCTCTCTGCTGTGCAGGCGAGCAAGGCTCTGCCTCCAAATCCAGACCTCAGAGAACACGTGTATCCTTTCATAAACCCCAAATTGTACCACATATAGAGTTAGCCCGATTTTGCCCAACCAATATACATATTAATATTGGGAAACATTATTTTAAAAATAGCAATAAAGCTATTAACTTTACACATAGCACAAAGGTTTATAAAAAATGTTGCAGGCTTATGATCCCAGCAAGTAAAATTACTAGCTTATTTTCATAATTTTGAAATAAAAAGCGCACAAAATACTTGAATAAAATCTATGAAATGCAGAAAAAAAGCAACACCCTAGTTTTGTTTTTTTTTTTTAAATCGACCTATTTTCCCTTTAAGCAAGAAAAGTCTAAATTCAAAAATTTAACTGGAGGCATTTATAGACCACAGTGCAATTATATATATAAAAGCCTGACTATCTCTTAAAGGACACTTACACTGCATCCAACAGATGTAATGCAGGAATAAGCACAGCCTAAAATTCCTCATCTGAAAGCCTCTGACTTCGGAGACTGCTTCGTGGAGCCATCAATGAGCCAGAGGCTTGTAAAATCCGAACTGCTTTCATGAATGCTTAAAACACACAGTGAAATCTCTCTCTCTCTCTCCCTCTCTCTCTCTCTCCTCTCTCTCTCTCTCTCTCTCTCTCTCTCTCTCGTCATTATGTTTTGAAAAGCTTTAACTGGCTTGTTCATTTTTCTGTTCTAATGTGCGGAAATTCTCACTGCATGAAAAAGTGCCTATTTGTCTTTCTCCCAAATCCACCCTTCAGAGCTAAAGCAAAATTAAATTGGGACATCAGATGCTAGAAAAGGGCCAGAAAGGATGCGGTTCACTTTGAGAAAGGTAATTTAATTTAGTCAAGATACATTACAATTTTCTAAGATATTTATTAGCTGTGCTATTATGTTATTCTTTTTTTTTTTTTCTTTGCATTTCCAGCACTGCTCGGAGTTAATGTCCACCATACTGCAGACAATGAGAGGGTATAGATGAAGTGCTTTATGAAAAATGTAACATTATATACTCTAATGCTAACATGATGGTGTGTGGGGGGTGATTTATTTGCTCTATGCACACAGTGCTTCTGATAACACCTTAGTTCCCATTGTTGCTTTCATTTTGCAGACAAGACACAAGGACTACAGCAAAGCTTAGAACTCAGATTTGTTTTACTCCAAACTCCAGAATGTGGCCAATCCTGCTTGATTTATTTCTTTAGAAGATGAGCATGTAAAAGCCATCTCTAGGGTGATTCATAAGGTATTAAATATGTAAATACATATTTCACCCATATGGAAAAGCTGAATATTTCTAGTTTTAAAATATACTTAAATGTATGAAATGTAATTGCCTATACGTGTGCTATAGCTAGTAAGACTTTAGCTAGTTCTCAGAATACACATTGTATTGTAATAACATGAACTTGATTAGGTTACAAAAGTAAAATATATATATATATATATATTTTTTTTTTTCTTGTATCTGGATTGTTATATGTGCATGAAACATCATGAACCATTTTAAGGCAAGAGAAAGTTCTTCCTAAATATTTTCTAATAAATAACAAAATGATATATTTATTAACTATGTCAAATCTAGGTCTAAGTTAAGTTAGTGTATCTCAATAACTAAATTCATAGACACAGGAAAAGAAGAAATTGAAACTAGTCACTCATCCTAAAAAGCCAAAAAAGAGAATGAGCCAAATGCATGGGTCCATAATAAAATACCATGAAGAACCTTTCAAAATAATGCGGGGAAAAAAATTCCTGAAGTTTACATATTTAAAAATGTTATCATAGTTATATATAAACTGGACCTGTCTGAATAAATATGTGAAATACACACATGTACACACTATCCCCCATACAGACACATTAAAGTTGATCTTATCACAAAGACTGTGTTAGCCACAGCATTGCAGACTTATTTTTTATATCCTATTTGTATGGAGAATGATCTGTGCTTTGATTAAAATAAGAAATATACAGTAGAGGTTCACTGAATAAAAATCACACCAACCGAACACAAAGAAGAACCAGCTCTGAAAAAAAAAAAACTTTGCTAATACTTCTTTTAAAATTGTATTGGCTTTCAATTATAATGTTTCACTTTCATACATATAATATACATTTAATAAGCACATCTCAAAGAAGTCAACCCAAAATACGACGGACTTAAATGTATTCAGACTGTTTCATAACCTGGGGCTGAATGACAGATGTACCGCAGGATTCAGGTAAAGTAATCAGCAACAACACGATCCTTCCTTAGCCAAATGCATTGCAACTTGCTTTAAATTAAGAAACTGTAAATATTTAAGAGCAGCTAAAAAGCTCCACTTTATGAAGTAAAAATCTAAAGCTATTTTTGCAGGAACCTTTCAGTGTTGTCATAATCATTTTAATTAAATTCTCATTTTTCAGGTGGTCCCTTTAATTGTTTTTTCCTACTTCTTAATGTGTTTTTCTAAAGCCATTTCTTCTCTGCAGCTGTGTGTGATTGGCTTTAATGGTAGCTGCTTCCTTTTTTGCCTTCTGTGAATTACAATTTTAAATGGTTACACATTTTTTGTTTTACTGCCTTCAGCATAGTTTCATAAAGATGTTTAAGGCTGTTGCTGAACATTTTCATTTCCCATCTGAAAAACCAAGAGCCATTTGAATATTCCATATTGGCCTTTTATGACCTGCTTTACCTTTTAATATGTAAATGAAAGCATATATTTTTTTAATAAAGACTGGCTTGTTTCCATGAAATCATAATTTTGCTCTTTTAAAATATAAATTCAATAAACAAGATAATATGTGATTGTTCTTTTTATGTTATATCTTATTGTTCATGAATGAAACACCTCTATTTTATGTGATGACAGTCATTTACAATGAAGAACTAGCATTTTCAGATCATAAGAATAACCTATAATGTGAAAAATTAGGTTTCACACTTGGATTTGAATTATCAGCGGTCACAAAATGCCAATAATGAGGCTATCTAGACCTTTCTTAAATTTTAAATAAGAAATTAAAACTACTTAATGATTCAGTTTCACTTTCACCATGATGTAAAAGATAGCTTTACTACAAACTGCCATTACATTTCACTTGTAAAAGTTATACCATAAATTGTACTTACTGCCTGGGTTATCTCCAATCCCATTGCTTTTCCCATTCCAGTACCAGAGCAAAAGGGTTGCGTCACGTGACCCGGAGAGAATGTAGCAATTTCCCCCAATGTACGACTCGGAACGAGTGAGGCAAGTGACCACACCCCAATGGCCAAACACAACTTGGATCAATTTTCCTGAAACACAAAACAATTTTCTTAAAAGTTGCTATAAAATTTAAAAAATTGTATGCTCATCATGACCATTTCACTTATAAGGTAATAAAGCCTTATAAACTCAGATTCTGATAATTCAGATTTTATAATAAAATTTGATCTGGTCCAATTTGAAAGTTTTCTTTCGATAGTAACGCAAAAAAAAATTAAACTGTGATAATAATATTTTGAAAGGCAAAAACTATTTTCAATTCAAACTATAATATTTAATGACTATGATATCATATCATTGTAATAGCTACTATAAATTACAAATGAATCATATCTACTGATGGAAGAAGGCCCTTCTTCCATCAGTAGATATGATTGGGAACCACTTCAACATTTTCTTAAATTACTCCATATGATTCAAAACACAATGAAACTTAGTTGTCTTTTGAGAAGTACTCTATACTTCAGACTTCACTAATACAAACCCCTCTCTGACTTAGTAAGATTTAATGCATTTCAATGTAAAGTCATTTTGGAGAGCTTCTGTTTTTGAAAACCAGGATTACCTAGAACTAAGTTTTGCTAAAAGGACTAATATACTGTTATTGCAATTTAAACCAAGTCGTTATTTCTTAGTTTTAATTTCATTGAATGATGAAAATTTACGGGGGGAGGGGCCCTGATGATAAAATTGAGATTAAGGCAGTTTATCTAAACTAATGACTTTAGGGGTGGGGGAAGGAACCCAGTGAACTTTATATATCTAGGGCTTCAAATACAGGATGAATTGTTCACGTAATGGTGTCAGAAAAAAAGTAAAGCCCCACTTATTAGAGCCTTTGTTTTAATTAGATATGATATTTATAATCCATACAAACTTCTCCAAAGAATTAAATACCTATAGATCTTTCCTTTCATCCCTACAGTTTCTAGCCAACATTTGCTTTTGAAATATCCGAAGAATCTAAAAATGAATGTCATTGAATATCTATCCTTAATATTCACTATGACTTTATTTTTTATAAGTTGTTTCAGGGGTCATTTGAACATAACTCAAATGCTCAAGGGAAAAAGACACTAAGCTGAAAAAAAGTTTGCATGTTTAACTTGGAACACATCATAATCTATTCAAAAGCTTAAGGTCTCAATTAAGTATTGGCATCTACATTTATTTAACTTTTAAAGATAATAATAAATATAATAGAAATATTTACATTAAACTGTTTTAATTTTCCATTTTAATAAATGTAAAGCTTATTTTAAGTGCCGCAAATTTAGAAATAAAACATTGAAATATAATTGTTCTAAATCAACTAAAAAGTCTAATACAATGTTTCCACTCTTGTACAGAGACTACTACCATGTTTCCCCGAAAATAAGACCTAGCGCTTGGAAAGATAAGACATCCCCTGAAAATAAGACCTAGCACAACTTTGGGAGAAAAAAATTAATATAAGACACTGCCTTATTTTCGGGGAAACAGGGTACTAGTAACTTTAAAATCAGATTCATTTCGATCTAAAATTGCAAATTTAATAAAGTACACTTTTTCCCTGTGAATAAAGAATTTTGTCAAAGCAGGTGTTTTAACTGCAAAATGTTAAAAATATTCATTTTTTTAACTCCTTCAGTCTTTTAAACTGGCATTAAAACATTTCCTTTTTAAAACTAGCTTTATCTATAAAGAATATGGTAAGAATTCAAGACCTTGTAGAATAAAAAGTGTAGGGGAGGAGCAAATAAGTATGAACAAAAGGAATAATTTTCACGTCATTTATAATTTTCATGCCAAACGAAGTGGAGGTTTAGTGTGAGATGGTTGGGCTTAAATTAGAGGCAGGGCTTTCAAAGGCCACGAGAGAAGTTAAGTAGGTCACTCTTAGCACAGGTTAGAAAGCTGAAGGTTAAATCAGTGAGTTTTAACTACTAAAGGAACAGGGCCACAATATTGTGATTGTTTTGATCGCGGAGTATGTACAGCGACTTCTGGCTCAGTCTGTACCTGAGTGCTGAGAGCGCATAAACTAGGAGTGACTTAAATAGGCCATTTAGAATAGGCTCATTTAAGATGAGACACCCATCAACTCAGTGGGCTGCAGGAGCGAGAATGAGAGAACTAACTACCAGTGGCTATGTGAGGTGCGTGGGGCCGAGGAAACCAGGGCCCTCCCCGTGCGCCGGGCGCTCGCCAAAGAGAGCAGCTTCTCACTCAGCAACTTGTGTCATTTCCAGCTCATGTGAGGACAAGTGAAAAGTGTTATCTGTAAGAGTGGGATGGAGTAAGCTTAGCCACAGAAGGATCCAAGATTCATTTGTTAATTCTCATCAGTTAGTGAGTCATCCCTCTGCATCTAGAACATCAGCGCCAGGAAAATGGACAACTCGCTCACTGTGGTTTCTTTCCCAACTACAATTCCCTAGTGTTATAGACTTTGTCCCAAAAGTTATCACAGTGATTTTCCATTCAACAAACACTGGCTAAGCACTTACTAAGTGCCAAGCAGGAGGCCTTCTCACACCTGTGTAGAGGTAAATAGACATGGCAAACAGACGTGGTCCCTGCCCCCAGAGTACTGACTGTCTAGTAGGGCAGACAAACATGAAACACAGATATGTAATTAGGAACAGTGAATAGTTTTATTAAAGAAAGAGTACAAGGTAGGATTAGTGGGAATAATAAGTAGAACAAAAGTATACTGGGCGCCAGGGAAGATAAAAATGAACAACTGACATTCAAGTATTAATATATAAAGGCTTTCTTACTTTACTACAAATTAATCTTGTTCTCTACAATGTATACTTTGGGCTCAACTCTGAAAAACATTATCTTTTTAAGTTTACTTTTTCCTGTTCTGGCAGCCTTTCTCGGTGATATTTGTTATTGCTACGAGGCTGAAGTTCACTCCTCCTAAATAAATCACAACATATAAATACCTGCTGCTCTTTTGGTAAATTATTTTCTGATAATCTCATAAGTGTTCCTAAACCTTTATTTTTTGTTTCCTTTAATACCAGTCCACCTCTCCACACACTAGTATCAAATATTACCACAAGCACTAGAATATCCCTTTTTTGACAGAACAAATTTTCTAGTTAATGTTTTATTTGACAGCTGTGCTACAAATAAAAAAAATTCAAGCTCAGGACTCCACACCACTGAATCTAAAATGTGGCCTGAAAATAATTCCCACTGCTGAGGGAAGGTTTTATTGTTGCCTCTGCTGTTCTGGTTGTGTCCTGAAAACATGATTTATGTTAAAAGAATTTCCTGTTACAACCGTGTTTCTTCCCCCTCCCCATCACAAACCTAATAAGAGAAGGATTTTTATTTATTTATTTTTGCTTATGTGCTAAAATATAATTGAATTCAACACTTAGCCATTATATATTATTATTTTAAATTTATACTTATTGTTGAAAGTATTACAGATGTCCCCTTTTTAAGCCATTATATGTTATTGATCATACAATTTAACCCTTGCTTCTCTGCCAAACTTAGGAGAATATATTTAATATTCCTATTGTCATGTACACATATTGTAAGGCACATAGTTATCCTAACTGAAATTATTTTAAATAAAACTAGCATCTGAGTTTATTTGTATAAAAGATATTAAGAAAGATATGTGGACTATAATTTGAGAATTTTTTCACAACTTTTCTGGCAAGTGTAAATATTTTTATTGTACAAGCCAAGTCAGTATCATTAACATGAAGCTTAAAATAAGGCTACTTATTATGAAAATGTTTTACACACACACTTATCTGAAAAACAAAACAAAACAGTCAAACAGAAGATTTTGGAAAGAGGGAAGAAATGCAATCTAGTTTACTAAGTCTAATGTCACATGGCAGACACACTAGGAACTTAGTGTTGTATTATATATTATAGTGCTTTCCAACTTCAGCAATTATCGACAGGTAACACCTGTATGAGATAACGTGGGATAATCACGAAGAATGCTGCATTTGAAATCAGAAGAGCTGGCTCCAATGCCAAGTTCTGTCACCATTATCCATACAAACTTCAACAAATCAACCTTTCTGAACCTCATTCTCATCATTTGAAAAATGGGATAAGGACACCTGCCCTATTTCACAGGATTATTGTGAGGCTGGAACAATATGCATGTGAAAGAATTTTGTAAGTTCTAAAGAACTGTCTGAGTGTAAGAATTTTCTTAATTATAACTATTATATAATGTAAGGTCAATTTTACAAATATTAATATCCAATGCCTTTTAAAAATGATATGAATGGAGAATAAAATCAAGAGCCCTCAAACGTCAAAACCAAAGACTGAGATAATATATAATTGCACTTATACGACATTCTGGAAAAGGCAAATCCTAGAAATGAAGACTAGATCAGTGGTTGCGAAGAGGTTGAGCAGTTGAGCGGGGAGAAGAGTTGACTACAAAGGGGCCGCACAGGGAATTCTGGGAGTGAGAGCTGCTCTGCACCTCTATTGTGGTGGTGGTTATGGGCCTCTGTAGTCCACTCAAACTAATGGAACTGTGGACCAAATAATGAAATTTACTGCATATACATTCAAAAACTAATGTTCAAAAATGTGTAAAAAACCATGTGCGATATAAAAGGATCTTTAAGAGAATCTTTAAGAGTATGAAGCAATTTTAATCTGAAAATTTGTGCAAACAGGAAGCACAATTGGAGGTCAAACAGTGCTAGAGTTGTCATTACCACATGATGAAAGTAAAGGTTAAAATTTTGTTATTAAATCAGAGAAAATTCATTATAATTATACAGTTATTTTAGGAAAACGTATAAATCCCCATTGCATTTTTAATGAACTCTAGAGGAGTTTTAGGTTTAACAGTAATCAACCTCAGAGACCTAAACATGTAATAAAAGCCCAATTAATCAGAAGGATTTGAATGATGGTTTTCTTTCTGGACATACAGAATTAAGATGCAAATTATTAAAAACAAACAAACAAAAAACACCAGATCATCAATTCCATAAAATAAAACATTAAAAAAATCCTGCCTGAAAACAACTTGTAGGGTTTATTGTAGGAACGATACATGTTAAACTATTTTCCCTACTCTTTCATAGCTGTTACAATATTGTCACCAAAATACACTTAGGACACACTCTTTCAATACCAGCAATTATCTTTTCATATAATACACTGTACTTACTAAGTCATACATTTATAAACATCATTAACAAGACTGAGAGATGACTTGCTATAAACCATTTAATAACTAGAAATTTCAGTGAGAAAGAATTTTCTATTTCCACATTTAAATCAAGATATTTGTAGAGCCTTGTTTTAGCTGAAATATGTACTTCCACAGTATCCATCAAGTTCTAATTATTATCTTTAATATCTCATTTTAATTATTTTTAAATATTCACCTATATACTTACTAAATGTTTATTTAATCCTCTAACAGTTTCTAAAATATTTTAAAGAGACTCCATGAAATTTTTCAATGTTTCTACATTTCCTAGATGCAAAAATGTATATGCATTTACTGGATAAGGTCTCCTTGTCATAATTCCGAGCTGTGTTTGGTTTGTCCTGCATGCAAATAAGTATATAGACTTAAAACTTTATATTTTAACAAGAGCTGTCATATAAAATCAATAGTCAGCTACTTTTCTTCATGATGGTGTAGATTTCAGCAAGATTCTATGCAGAATTGGGTGGATGAAGATTTCTACTCCCAAGCAATACACCTAATGAGAATTTCCAGTAAGGAAAAAAAATTCTCTAAATAATACAAAAGTGGGAAAATACACACACACACACACACACACGCACACGCACACGCACAGGCACACGCACACACATATGCTGGTGTTAAGATTATGCAAATACATGTGCATATGGTATTTACATACCATCATAAGCCTGGGTGACAAACCTACTATAAAAAGCTGCCTCTTAAAAACATGCTGAAGCTAACTTAATGGTAGACTATATAGTAGAATGGGGAAAAGTATATTTTCCTTATTTTATAAATGTTAGAATCATGTAATTTTTTGGGAGGAAGAAGACGACGAAGCATTCTAAGTGCCTCTCTCAATGTTACTTACAGTAAGCTTTAGTTACGGATGAAGAAAATAGCAATTACCTGTGTCTGTAGAATAGACTCGGAAACTTTTATCCCAGAAACCACAGACGAGGATGTAGCGGTTGTCTGAAGTGATGACAAAGCACTGGGAATGGACTTGAATACTCTGGTCCAAAAGGTCAGTGATCTGCCTCCTGTGCATTCCTGTATTGCTGGCTATGAGAACAGAGGAAGAAAAAATAAGCTTACTAAACCCACATGTGCAAAGAGGTCCTATAGTTTGTCATACTCAGGATAGGGGGTGAGGGAGGAGAGGCAGCGTGTTCCAGGGTAGGAATATTTGACCTTTCATTTTAAATATAATAATATTTGAAAAACCAAACAGGAAAACACATCCCAATGCTGGAAGAATGTGGGCAGCTAAATCCAACATCTCAGAGAGAGATTTTGCCTAGAGGAAAGAAACAATAGCATGCCACAATTTAAAAAGAGTGTGCGACTCCCGGAACACGCTTTCTAGCTCTCGGGCAGGACCAAACTAGATTACAATCTGCAGATTGCATCATGGTTAGGTTTGTGTTTCTGACAATCTCATTACACCTATCGCCACGAGAATAGATTTGTGTTGTGACAATCCATTACCTTTAACTTTTTGTCACAAGGAAGAGATATTAGAATTTAAATGTCATATAGCTGAAATATTGTACCATCTTGTACTACTTTGGCTGTAACAGGTCTTTAATTTGACTAGATGTGAACTCCCCTTTCCCCTGTTTACAGCTGCACTTGCATGTATGGAAAGGGGAGAAGGACTATTTATTAAAGATACTTGTAATTGAAAAAGTCAAAGCACAGCACGCGGCCACTCTCTTACCCCTTATGTAAGCAATAAAACAAGACAGCCCGGCAGTGTGCTTTCAAAGTGCTACAGAGCGCCTGAGATGGGGTTTGTCACAAGGCACAAGGTCAGACACGGAGCGACATTAAGCCCGCGGGAAGAGTAATAATCCTCTAGAAACACACTATCAAGTCTGTCATTATCAGAAAAGGGATTTTCACCGAGGTGCCTTTTTTTGGCATTATGAGGCCAGCCAAATAGAAAGCTTTGTTTCTAGTCATCTCAGGGGTGTTTCACACCAACTTTCCAGCATAAATAATGATTCTTACATTGCTAAAGAATCTTGATTGTATCAGAAATTGGAACAAACACAATACATTTCTGCATCGGATTATTACGTATTTTGTATTATAGTCAGTAGGTTTAAAAGTACTATAAATGCATTATGACAAAAAGAGGAAAACATTTACATTATATTCATTGTTTATAACTAAGTTAACGTGGCCAACTTAATGGAAGGCTCAGAGAATAGTACAGAAGAAAAATGTGTTCAAAATACTACTCGGTGCTCTGCTGGGAACACCTGGGGACACAGAGGAACAAAATATTCCCTGCCTTCAGGGCATTACAACATGGCAAACATACACATGTGTAATACTGCAAAATTCTGCTAGTGTCTGAGTATACAACTTAACTATGTGAGGTTATTAGGTAGCTGTTTGATAATGGGATTCATATTCTTTTGGGTGATTAAATGGGCTAGAAAGTAACAGCAGTAGTTAAAAGGGCAGGACTCAAGTTTGGGAACATTCCTCCATCCTTCCACACAAAGGGAAGCTACTGGCAGATGAGAACTTGTATGGGTATCACCGTGTATCACACAGAGAGGTTAGTATCCCACAGGATGAAGCTGTGGGATTACAGTTCAGTTGTTTTTTAATCCCAAGAAACCTAGCAATTAAAAACAAAGTAGATACTACTTCCTAGACTGGTTATTACAGTATTTAATCCCACATGAAAATTGTAAAAAATGTCCATTTTTTCTGTGTTTAGGTGACTTTTGCTCCTATGATGTAAACTTTGATCCTGTTCTCCTTTGAGGTGTGATCTCTTGGGAGGGCCTAGCTCAACAGATCTGGGCATGTGCATAATTTTGAGTTGACTGACCAAAAGTGCCAATGGATAAAGGCTGTTGCCCCTTGAGCATTCAGATGAATTATTTTATTCCAAGTAAGTGCTTACTTATAAGTTAATATTGCAACATCTGTCTGTCTATCTATCTACCTACCTACCTACCTACCTACCTACCTACCTACCTACCTAATCTATACAACCTATACAACCTACATATCTCACAACTGCCTTTCCTTTATCTTATTGTTTTCTCTGGCATATTCCTGAGATTCAATACTAAAAGTATTTTTATGTAATGAAAATTAGGTATATTTATTTGTCTAGATAAGCAGTCTTCAAACTTTGGTGGGCATACCCCTAAGGATTAAAGATTTCCCCAAGGATACACAGGCACAGATGGTTTTAAGGGAATCAATTTCTAGTTCCTCAACTTTCATATGTTCTCCTGCCTGAAACAGGTTTGCTTAAGGACTCCTTTCTAACCTTGCTTTTGGCATGCTCTTCTTCCACTAGATTAAATTAAGGCATATTTCTCTCCTACCTAGAACCTTACTATGGTGCTTCACCTCAGGATATAAGAACCTCTTGAAAGCCAAAAAAATCGAAAAATTCAAAATAGTGAATATGTAGGTAGCAAATCATTCTGCAGGGTAGGTAACTTCCAATTCAATGCTTTCAATCAAATAGAAGGAGCATCTAATCAGGCTGTCAATTGGTAGATCATTAAAAATAAGTTTCATGACACACTGTTAAAATGGGTGGTGAATGATAGACCATAACAATATTTCTTAATAGAACACTATATGTTTTCACATAACCTAGAAAGAGCTCAACAATTTGAGTGACATTATTAAAACAAAACTTTTTCTTTTCCCATTTATTTGCTCGTGTGAGTGACATTCATCAGAGCTTCCATCCATAACAAAACAAAAAAAATTAAACAGAATTGTTGAAAAATCCTGTCCCATTCAGCAACAAATAATAGTCATCCATGAACACAGGAATTGTTTCATTAAAAATATATTTGTACTAAATGTTTTTATGTTTCATAATGTTTATTAAAATGTTTAATTTTGCATAAATTTTAAAGTTATAATTGTATAGGAGGAGTAAAATGAAAATACAAATTCAAGATGAAAAAGAAATAATGTACAATTTTCAACTAGAGATTTTTATATGTTTTTAAAAAACAAAATGTTGGCGATTCCTTTTCACATTTGGATTCCATTGGATATATTTAAAATTTTATACACTTTGCAACTATTTAAATTTGTGATGAAACTGTTCAGCTGTCAACTTAAAAGTGTGTGGGAAGCCAAAACCGGTTTGGTTCAGTGGCTAGAGTGTCGGCCTGCAGACTGAAAGGTCCCAGGTTCGATTCAGGTCAAGGGCATGTACTTTGGTTGCGGGCACATCCCCAGTAGGGGGTATGCAAGAGGCAGCTGATCGATGATTCTCTCTCATCGATGTTTCTAGCTCTCTATCCCTCTTTCTCTCTGTAAAAAATCAATAAAATATATATATATTTTAAAATGTGTGGGAAGATGCATGGTTTTAAATAATTATTTTAGGAGATATAAGACCAAACAATCTGATGATCAGTGATCTGGACCAGGAAAGAAAACTACGGCCCACAGGCCAAATTTGGCCCATGTCAATGGTCATTTGTTTACACATTGTCCATGGCTGCTTTTGTGTTATACCAGCAGAGTTAAGTCCCTATGTCTGAGACTCTATAGCCTACAAACCCTAAAATATTTACTATCTGGCCCTTTACCAAAAATGTTTACCTATGCTTATTCTAATGGGTTGTAACTGCCAAATTAATTTAATTATAGACTATATTCTATAGAATATTTATTGTCAAGTTTTAAGTTAAATAATAAGTCTATACTTCAGGAATAATGTTTAAATGACTTAGCAAATGGGTTTTATTATTTGTCTGACTTTTAAAACTTTACCAAAGTGAGCATTTAAAAAATTTTCAATATATGGCAAATCATGTCTACTCAAAGTAAAACAAGATTTAGGAAAAAGAGTAGCACTTATCCTACATATAGATAACTACTTCTTATATTTCCACTTATATTTGGGGAAATGATAAATGACTTAGTTTAGAGTTTAAGATTATGTTAGCTCATCTTGATAGTTTATCTGCAAACCTTGGCCATTTAGCTCTCTGGTGAAACAATGGTTTTAAACACAAAAAGGATGGCATACACATGAGGAATATCTTGAATTTCAAAATACTAAATCAGCTTACTCAAATGCTTCATTTAAAGACTTTAAAATCCTAACAATGTATTTGTGCCAGGGAAATTTGACAGTCATAAGGCAAGCACTCATACTAGTAGTTACGCAATTAAATTTTTTTTTATCCTAAAAGTTATTGGATAGTGTCTTTAATATCGAAGCTTAAATTCTTATTGAAGCCACAGCTACAATCTCCACCCTTGGGGATAAAGAATACTAAAACCGGCTATTTTAACTATAACCTCCTCAAAAGGCAGATCAGCAAGTAAGCATTCTCAGTCACCTGCTGCCGGGACTCATTTCATCCCCATGGCTCTTTCTGCTCCTCCCTTTTCTTTTTCTTTCCCCCTGAACAAATTTAACCTCCAATGGCAATTTATTGGGCTGTAGGACCCTAGGAAAATGAATACGAATATCTTAACACTGCCATTGGCTAGGCAATATATTTCAACTTTGAAACTGCTCTGCAATTGCCCATTAATCCCCTCCGACTGAACAGAGGGTCCAGGAAGAAAGGATTGATCTCCTTTAATGATGAAACCCTGGCACTACAGTTTTATTTTTCACAACACAGTGCTGCTAAGAACCCCACTGTTATTATGAAAATTTCCCCAGCAAAGGAGCTCCATCACATTACTGGGGCACCAATTCATCATAACGTGCCTCGCTCCTGCTCATCAACAAGTCTGAGTGATGAAAAGATCCAATATTATCCTGACAGTACTTCATGCGCATTCTCAATCACACATTATTACAGCATCCATATTAATTTTCAGTGACACGCGTCCTAGGCCTGTTCAAATTAGGCAAACCAACGAGGGGGAGTTGATGAAATACCAGCATAGCCACAGCTCATTGCATTCCAATTTGCATGCAAATGGTTTATCAGGAAAATTCCATTCCCAGCAACCAGCAAGTGAAAAACAACTGTAATCTACACTTCAGGGCCACCATACAGAGCTTAATGAATCGCAAAGAGAGAAGGAAGTGACAGACCTATGAGAGGATCGATTTCCACTGGCAGCTGGTATGGCTGGTCTTGTACAGCACCTTGATGAGCTGGAATTTACAAAAGATTAAAAAAAAAAAGCATTATTTTTTAAAACACAAACCACATAAAAATGCACAAGTCAAGTCTTATGTACAATTGTTTCCAACCCTCAAATTATGCAGTTTTGTGAAATTTAAGGGGGGGGGGGAATCCAGGTGCTTTCCTGGCGAGCTTATTAAACATTTATTTTAGATTAGTGCTGTTCTGAACCTGTGCCATCACAGTGGCTCCAGTCCTGGGCCATAAGCTAGAGCAGATGCTTGACTGGCAACCTCTGATGCTGCAACAAAACAAAATTAAGTGGTAAAGCGCACTGAAAACAAAATGTGACAACCATCTGCTGACTGTAGCAAATACTATTTTTTTGTTACTTTTAAAAGGCAGTTTTGAATGCTGCAGCACAAAGGATCCACGAAAACGTCAATTTATGATGGAGAAAGAGAAGGCTCTACGTCAGGGAACATTTACTGTTTCATCCATCACTTAAAATCAATCAATTGAAAGTTTGAATAAAAATAAAGAAAGCTATCTGCAGATAAATGTTTTAGCTAAATGCATTTGACGGAAATATTTTCCTAAAGGTTTGAGGTTTTTCTTTTAAGTTTTATTAATATTTACTATTTCCATGGTTTCTATTTTAAAATACCCTAAGAAGCAAATGCGTAACAAAAATCAATCCATACTAAGAATAGTTGGTTCAATTCTCAAAACGGTTCTGAAGGCTCAGGCTTGCTTTTTTGTAATCGAGAAGAGATTTTTGTAAGCTGTCTCTCTGTGAAGGGCAGAGGTCTTTGGGGAGAGGGTGGAGGCCCAAAAGGTAGTGATGCCCCAAAATGAAGGTTTTGGAATAAATGATCTTTTCAGTTTTAAATAATTTTCCCCATATGACTCAGCCATTCACCCTGCTCAGTGTCTGCCTTTTATAGACACAAGCATTTGTAAGCTGCTTGGTGGGTATTAGAGCTCTGCTTAAAACCATCTGATTTTAGGAATTCTTTCTGTCTTTGAGGGGTTGGGGGAAAAATGGGGTACATTCCAATGAGTGCACTAGATTCTAAATTTATTATGTCACCATTTCCCCTGTTAGTAAATACCGACTTTTCAAGGATGTTTGGAAGATAAAATAACTGAGTAAGTATAATAACAGCACTCAAAAAATTATAGTTGAGTGTTTATAAGAAATTAAAATAGCTGGAGAAAGGAAGTCATAGGACTCACTCTTTTTTACTGAAGATATTTTCTTTGCTGATTACTGGCTCTGCCAGTAAAGAAACCACAGGACACATACAGACAGGGAATGATTGGGAAAGTGTTCCACAGCCTCTATGTACCCAACAGTGCCATTTACTTCCAGTACTACCAGTACTGACCAACACTAGCAGCTGCAGAATCCGGCCTCATTGAAATGCTAAGACCAAACTGTCAGTGAAAGGTTTAGGAGGTCAACCATCTTTGGACATATCTCTGCTACTGATTGCCTGTGTGACCTTGGGCAAGTAATGCTGTCTCTGTGTGTTCCCTAATCTGTACCATGTGTTACACAGGTTTATTAGGCTAAACCATATGAAATTACCAATACCTGACATCTTAACTCATTAAAAATGGCAATTTGATATAGTTCAACCTAAATACAGAATCTACATCCAAAGTTTGTTGGGGAAATATGTATAAAGTGATTAAAACAGTAATTAGAACTTAGAATATCTACACTAATAAAAGAGTAAGATGCAAATTGTACCTTTGTGACACCCACCGCCAATCAGGAGAATGCAAATTAACCCAACAAAGATGGCGGGTTAATTTGCATATGCAGGCACCAAGCAGTGGGGGTGGGACACAGATGTTCTGCACCACCCCAGTTGCTCAGGGCCTCTGGGCAGTGTGGGAAGGCGAAAGGTAGCTCTGGCTGGAGTGAAGGCGGTGCCAGCAGCCAGGGGAAGGAAGGCCCATCCTTGCACAAATCTTTGTGCATTGGGCCTCTAGTGTTCTATTAATATTAGCTGATTTTTCCCCCCCCTGAATGTTCTGCAAGGGTTTTTTAATGAGAAGGAAGGATAAAGATATTTTTTCCCCTAAATCAAGATTCAGAGACAACTGAAATAAATGACAGGAGCCAGTGGTCTAATCAACAAACTGTGGAAATCACAGGCTCTCATAAAAGAAACAGAATCCAATACCCTTCTCCACTAGTATAATATGAATTTGATATTCATTGGAGAAAACTGTTAGGGATGTTTGACATTCGTTTTAAATCAGGGGTGGGGAACGTCCAGCCCAAGAACTATTATAAGGCCCACAAAATCATTTGGTCTGGTCCTGCCAAGGCAATACCGGTGAGTTAATTGAGTGTTTGATCAAATACAGCAGGCTAATTTTTAAGTTGATAATTTTGTATGGCCCATGAATGATGTTATAAATATCCAAATGGCCCTTGGCAGAAAAAGGTGCCCCACCCATGCTTTAAATCAAGGCATCCTGAAAGGTAATTTAATTTGGCATAAGGTATAGCAAGATAGGATGAAAGACCAGATTTATGTAAATATACCTGAAATGAGGCATAGATTTAATAAAATGGGTGCAAGCACTGGTACAACTCAGCACTGGAGAGCACATTGTGTGGAAAGCTAAACACTAGGTATTACCATGTTACCATTCTTTGTATTTATCTGGTGAAGAGCTGCTGGGCCGTACTGTAAAGCCAGAAGGTGGGGACAGAAATCACGAGTGGCACAAGGCACAGGCACAAAGCAGCCTCACTGGGGAGAATTACAGGCAAGGAATCGGCAAAACATATGCACTCCCCAAGCTACTGTCTTACAATAAGGTGAACGGGGCTGGGGATAATAAGTGGTACATCAGCACAGGGAAGCTGCCCCTAAACCACTTTACATATCTATAGAAAAGCTGGAAGTTGGGAAAAGGACACCTGACAACCACGCATGAAGGAAGCAAGCTTTACAGTCAGGAAAATGGGCTTGCTCCAGAGGGGAGAAGGAGCTCGGTCATCAGTGCTAAGCAAGTGGGCCCACACTGAGTCCCAGCTATGGTGCTCTGGCTGAGCTCTTTGCTAAGCTAAAGTAAAGATGGGGGCAGAGAACAATGAAGGCTTTCCAGCAGATGGAAAGGTTTTCTCTTCTCACACATGGCGTCACTGTTTAAACTGAAGAAGTTCTCAGAGCCACCACCAATAGCCATCCTGGATAAGCACCACGGTGGCCCTGATGTCACAGGCACTGGGGCTTCCACCAGCTCTAAGGGTAACTGCACACCCTCTTATCACATTTGATAAACACACCACCAGCATGTTTTTCTCTAATGAGTAGTATTTAGAGACTCCAAAAATCACATTTGTTAATCAAATTATAATCTTTAGTCCCAAAATATCTGTAACAACAAAAGTGTAACATGCTAATTAGACCAGACAGCCGAATGACCTTCTGGACACAGCCAGGGCTGCGAGAGCCGAGCCCCTTGCACAAATTTCGTGCACTGGGTCTCTAGTAAGTAAATATTTGCATATACATTTACCTTTCTAAAATGAGTTCACTTGAAGAAAAATGTCTGCCTTGATTTTTACCTCCTGAACTTTTTCTGAAATCTGTTTTCTAATCAAATATTGGCATTCATTTCATTTCTAATGGCCAAGAAAATGTTCTGTATCTAATAAATTCTGATACCAACACAGATTCTGCATTATGGGGTACATACCTTACTGAGCATAGTCTGTGTGCCAAATTTTTGTTTGAATGTCAATTCAATTCTATCCCATTATAAAAACTCTTCCATTTAATTTGGCATAAGACCCTTGTTCAAAACTATATATATATATATATTTTTTTTTTTTCCTGCAAACAATTCAGGAATTATAATGAGCAATGCTTTTACACTTTACAGATTTAACGACAAGTTAACAGACTATTAAAATAAATTAAAAAAACTTCCCACCTAAAACAATAGCTTGTGGGGGGAAAAGCCTATAACCTCTAGGACTTTTCCTTCTTAAAAAAAAAAAAAAAAAAGAATTTCTAACTAGTGGCCAAAAAGAACAGTGCTAAATCCAGATCCCAACATTCCTGTTCTAACGAGAGGCACTAAATCACAGAGGGATGATCATAAAGTCTGAGTGAGAAAACCTGAGTGCAGACCTGGCCCTGCCACTGACTGGCCATGTGACACTGAACGAGGAGAGCTCCCTGCGGCTGTGTCTCCACAGGAGAAATGTGGGCTGGACTAGATGAACTCTAATGTCGCTTACTTGCTGATGGTTTATGATTCTAATGGTTATTTCAGTATCTACCATAACTATTCAGCACTGAATGGAAGAAGAGAATGTACTTAGGGTTTTGGCAGACAAATTATTCTTTTTTCTATCATCCACAACAATACTACCATGTCACACACCAAAGGCACATAGTAGACAATCAGAAATGTCTACTGAGTAAATGAGTAAGTGGAAAAAAGGGTATAGGTGTTAAATAAATGCATAAAAATTATAATATAGAAACGTTGTTATATTAAAATATTGTTACAATAGAAATAGTATTTATCTCCTAAGAATAAAGACAAACCACCAGATGCCAAAGCATAGTTTATGTTTTAACATTTGTATTCTATGCCTCATATGGGATTTCTTAGAGCCTTTCACATTATTAAACATTTTGACTCTGAATAATGCTTGAAAGTTAAGAAGATTAATCGTTGAGATATATATTTGAGTAGATATTACAATAACTTTATCCAGAGTTCATCAGTTACCATGCCTTATATAATGATGTTTCTTTTCTTACCAGGAAGGTTGTGCCACTTGTTCACAGCAAACAGCCTGTTAGCGGTGACTGTGATCACAGCAGGAGGCACCAAACCTGGCTGGGTGTTGGCTGCCACGTGAGTGACAGGGGAGTTGGAGGGGAACTTGAGGACCATGATGACATCCTGCTGGGCTTGGTCTGTGAACATCAATGGGCTCTGCAGGAGGAGATACTATTGAGTGGGCATGACAAGACCCAGACATAGAAGAAGGAAAAGACAATGGAAAACGAGAAGAGAAAGGGTGCAGGAAAAGAAGAGGAGACCGTGTTAACACAATTGCAAGTGAGAGCACAGAGAGCAGATAGGCTCCTAGAAACAGCACTTAGGATTTGCCTGTTTTCATGCATGTCATCAGTTGAACTTTTTGGTGACTGAAGGAGAATACCTTAACAAAAACACTTTAAAAATCAATGAATTTTATTCGCTGCTTTCCCTACCCCACTCTCATGAAGAACCACAAGAATGATTTGATTTAGATTCCAAATAGGCAAGATATTGGGGATCATATTAACCCATACTGATTGCTAATATGTGTCAAGTACAAAAAATAAATAAAAGAGAATGAGAATATCAATAGGCACAAAAGGAAGCCAAGGTAATTTCCAAAGATCATCAAAAATTGTGTTGAGTTAGCATGAAGATTTTGACAACTAAATAAAGAGATAATTAAAGCAAATACATTTATAAACAATAGTTATGCAACTTGCATGTATTATTTCAGTAGAGAAATAAGTTACAAACATAATACACAAACTTAATTATAAAAGTGTTTCAAAGCAATGCATAATTAAATATACTTGTAAAAACAATATATTTATATAGTGTACCAAGTCATAAACACTGCCCTATTATAATGCAAATGCCACTGTTTTCTGCTGCAGCTAAGAATAAAGTGGAATACCTAGATGGCCCTGTCCCTCTGGTAAAAAACAAAACAAAAATAAAACCCAAAACCTTTTGATTTCTCTTCTGAAAAGGAGAAAGTAATTAAAAATGTCACACAAAACACTGTCTGTTCTAATAGATAGAAACGAAATAAATCTTGAAGACTACTAAGGATTTAGGACATTCCTACAGCCCATATGTCATAATCCAAGACATATATAACCCCACTCTGATTTACTGGCTTTATTTATACTTTGGGGGAGCAGGCTACCATGCAGTAATTGCACTGTACATTTTCAGCAATTCTCTTCTATCGTGTCTATTTTCTAATAGCTGATTAGTATCATTCACAACTGAAACGCTTTGATGAAGTGCTTCTGGCTGCTTTCCTACGGCCATATTTCAAAACACCAGGTATATGTAAATGTGTGCGAGCACATATATTTAACATGTATTTGTTCAGAACTGCTAATAAAAAATTAAGTACATTTGCATTTTTATTATCAGTCCTTTTAAAAAAGTTATTAAGAGTACTTAGAAAAACATATTGCACTAAGAATTCCTATTTGCACTCTTTGCATAAAGGTGTAAATAAAGGCAACTAATAAGCTACCCAGACACCCTTCTGAGCAAGTGGCTAAAAGCCAATCAATATTATGAGTTAATCCTCCCTGGATGCTCATTCAATTAAAGGTGTCAGTAATGCCTCATCTGATGTGGCCTCAATTAAATCCAACTATCTGATGGTGTGAAAACACAGGGGGATACAGCAACAGCAGCAACACCAGACAAATAGGCAGCCTTCCTGTGCCTGCTAATTACTACACCTGGTGTATATTATGGCTCATGCACTCAACGCAGCACGCTGTGGTTTTAATTTCTGCTATATCTTGCATGGTGTGTGTGTGTGTGTGTGTGTGTGTGTGTGTGTTTGTGTGTGTGTGTGTTGGGGTGCACTGATGGTTAATGGGGGAACTGATCTGTATGGCACTAAAAACAATAAACATTTGCACATTTTATTTTTTAAACCCCTGAAATAAAAAAGTAATCTCTGTCATAGAAAGGTTCTTTTATACAGTTGTAAGGAATTCCGGGGAATTGGGTAAAAATGAGAAACAAAGAGCAACATCAAACAAAATCTAACTAGCTATGAAGAAGTCCTGGGAAAGGAAGTGAACGTCATCTCAGACTGCCAAGCTTTATTTTTCAATTATGTAGTTTTTTAAATAGTATTTATGAAAGTCAATTTATAAACTCTGAGAAAGTCTGAGTACAACATACATCATAAAGTCTCACTGCAAGGAAGTTGATACATATTTTTGAGCTTAACAGCTCATACTGTAAATACAATTAGACTCACGTCGAATAATTCCAATGTTTATGTCCTTAAGAAAACAGAGAAAAATCTCCAACGTGTAGAAGGAATGTTTACATAGTGACTATATTGGCAACTTTTAGCCACAAGGCCAGGACAAGCCACTTTAGACAAGACGCAGCAGATACCACCACCGAAACTGTTCTTACAAGGGGCCTCCCTCCAGCCTGTTCCTACAGTCCATCCTGACTTCAGTCACAACGCGGGCAAAGAGCAGGAAACTCTCTCCAAGCCCATCACATCCAGGGCTAATAAGTATGGAGCAGCAGCAACCCCAGAACACAGGCTGGTCAGCCGTGATGGCAAATGCCACAGAGGGGCAGGACAACTGGTGAAACAGGGAGGAGGAAACAGACCTCGCCAAATCCTGGGTGTGTCTGTGAGCTGAGTCTGAGGCAGAAGTAGGAAACTACAAGGCAAATTTCATCCAGTTTTCTCAGATTCAGTGTACATACTGTTGACAACTCTGGTTTCTTTCTAGCACACCTTTCCTTCCCACCCACATATGTGCAAGATGAAAAACACAATTTGCACGTGTCTGAAAAGGAGTTCAGGTTTTCAATTCAGAGGGATCAAGCCCCTGGGAGAGACGGTCTTCCATCTTCATAAGAACAGGTGCCTTCCCACCCCAGAGCCTGTGAAGCTGACCTGCCCCATGAACCAGTGATCCCTTTGCCGGGGAGGGAGGCTGGCAGTAGGAACTCTGGCTGTCCTAGTGACCACAGCTGAGCAGTGACCCAGGCAGAAAGGCAAGAGACCAGCAGCAGGGCCTCCATCAGCCAGCACCACGGCCTGAGTCTCACAGACAAGCTATTACTAAAACTAATTCCAAACCCCAAACATAAATCATCCTTACTGTTTTTATTACTATTTTTATGGCATTATCTCCCATTGTTCTGGCTAAATGTCCACTTTTTGTGTAGTCTTCTGCTCACTAAAGTCGTCCTTTATGTTCATTTAGATCTGATTTCACCTGTTTAAAAACACTTGGAAAAGATGATGCAAATACTTTTTAAATGCTTGTTGTTCATTACAATGGTCAATTCATATAATTAGGGGGGGAAAAAAGGCTTGGAAGAAAAAAGATGACAAAGAAGGGAAAAGGGAGAAAGACACAAAGAAGAAGGTGGAAAGAGAAAGAAAAATGGGGAAAAAAACCCAGAGGTAGAAGGGACCAAATTCATCTCTCCCTGCTTGGCTGCTATCCTCCCTTTCCAGTATCTGTCAAAATTCTGCCACCTCTGAACCACAACATGGAATCAGAATCTATCTCAAATTATTCACTGTACTTATGGAAACAGACTATATAGTTCATATTATTGATTATTTAATTAGTTAAAACAGTAACAAATAATCTGTTTTATTGAGGGACAATTTAAGAAAAAAAAGCATAGTACTCATAGTATGTACTTTAAAGAAATTATTTCCTTTAATCACTGAAAAATGTAACCCCTGGAATTTCAGGAACTCTAAAAGGAGAATGAGCACATATTTTGCAGACTGAGTCCATTTCCCTGCTCCCGATTCTGGGTTGACCTCCAACTTGCTCTGACCAATAGAACGTGGCATAGATGATGCTGTGCGAGCTCCAAAGTGAGCTCCAAGAAGTGTGGAAGGAGTGTTCTTGTGGAACCTGCTCCTCCCAGATGACCTTGCTGATAAAAGACGCCATGAAAAGAGAGGCCCAGACATCTCAGCCTGCCCCCAGAAGTATGTGAGGGGGCCAGGGAGCAGAGCAGAAGAAATGCCTCAGAATCATAAGAAATACAGATCACTGTTTTACACCACTAAGCTTTGGATGGTTGGGTACACCAAACCATCCATTTTTTTCCCTCAAGTCTCTGACTCTCAGCAACAATGTCTTATATATTAGGATTTCATTTTAAAATCCCCAAAATGAAAAACATATTGGGATATAAAGAATACAATTAACAGAGGAGAAACCAAGATGGCAACATAATTAAACACCTAAACTGCTGCCTCGCACAACAATTTCAAAACTACAACTACAAGGTAAAACGGATATTTTTCAGAATCACAGGAAGACTGGCTGAGTGGAAATTCTACAACTAGAAGGAAAGAGAAAAGCACACTGAGACTCAGAGGAGCTGCAGGAGGCAGAGGTACTGAGACAGGAGTGCGGAGAAAACTGGCAACTGAGTTCGTGGCTGGCTTTCTCAAGGGGGAGGGACAAAAGCTCCCGAATGAGCTGAATTCCAGTTCTGGGTGAGACTCTGGGGACACAGACTCACACGGGGTGAAAATGAACTGTCAGGAAAGAGAAAAGCACACTGAGACTCAGAGAACTGCGGAAGGCAGAGGTACTGAGGTGTGTGTGTGTGGAGAGGGCGGGCAACTGAATACATAGCTGGCTTTCTCAAGCAAGAGGGAGACAAAAGCTCCCAACTGCACTGAACTCCATTTCCAGTTTAGACTCTGGGGACCCAGACTCATTCAAAAAGAAACTGAACTGTTGGGCAGCGGGTGGAACTTGAGGGCGGCTTTCTCTCAGAGGTGCTTGCAGCAATTACCATGGGACACTGAGACACAGGGACCTATTAGGGCAGGACTGATAGGAAACCAATGCTGTCTGCTCTGCCCTAAGATTCCGTCCATCCAAGCTGAGCACAGAGGCTTAAGTCTTGTCTCATAAGGGTGTCTCTAGCACAGAAGTTCTCCCAGCATAGACACAGCTTATCCAATTGGCCTGGAGGTCAATTCCTCCCAGTAATACCAACAACAATCAAGACTTAACTACAACAAGACTGTGCACATAGCCCACAAAGGTATGCCCCACCTCAGGTAACTGGGGAGGCTGAGCCACTGGGCCCTATAGGATACCTAGCACACAAAGCCACTCTTTCAACTCAGGGAAGCAGCCAAAATGTGGAGAAAAAGAAACAAGTCACAAATGAAAAAAATGGAGGAAAGTAAATGACTGGATATAGAGTTCAAAACCACAGTTATAAGGTTTTTCAAGAATTTTCTAGAAAAGGCCAATAAATTTAGCGAGACCCTCGAGGATATGAAAAAGGATCAACTAGAAATTAAGCATAAACTGACTGAAATAAAAAATATTATACAGGGATCTAATAGCAGACTAGAGGATCACAAGAATCAAGTCAAAGATTTGAAATACAAAAAAGCAAAAAACACTCAACCAGGAAAGCAAAAAGAAAAAAGAATTCAAAAATATGTAGATATTGTAAGGAGCCTCTGGGACAACTTCAGGTGTACCAACATCAGAATTATGGGGTGCCAGAAGAAGAAAAAGAACAAGATACTGAAAACCTATTTGAAGAAATAATGATTGAAAACTTCTCACACCTGGTGATAGAAATAGACTTAAAAATCCAGGAAGCATACAAACCCCAAACAAAAGGAATCCAAAAAGGACCACACCAAGACACATCATAATTAAAATGCCAAGAGCAGAAGACAAAGAGAGAATATTAAAAGCAGCAAGAGAAAAACAGTTACCTACAAATGAACACCCATACAACTGTCAGCTGACTTCTCAACAGAAACTATGTAGGCCAGACAGGAGTGGCAAGAAATATTCAAGAATAGCAAGAACCTACAACCAAGATTACTCTACCCAGCAAAGCTATCATTCAGAATTGAAAGGCAGATAAAGAGCTTCACAGATTAAAAAAAAAAAGCTAAAGAAGTTCATCATCACCAAACCAGTATTATATTAAATGTTGAAAAGGCATTCTTTAAGAAGAGGAAGAAGAAAAAGATAAAGATAAAAATTATGAACAACAAATACATATCTATCAAGTGAATAAAAAAATCTAATGATTAGAATAAACTGGTGAATATAATAGAATCAGGAGCATAGAAAGGGAGTGGATTGACAATTCCTGGGAGAGAAAGGGGTGTGTGTGGGGGGGCGGGAGAAAGGGGGAAGAGACTGGACAAAAATCGTACACCTATGGATGAGGACAGTGGAGGGGGATAAGGGCAGAGGGTGGGGTGGGAACCAGGTAGAGGGGAGCTATGGGGGAAAAAAGAGGAACAATTGTAATAATCTGAACAATAAAGATTTATTAAATTAAAAAAAAAGAATATAATTAACAAAACTAATCTAGAAACTCATAGGATCAAACCAGAAAACAAATCATTCCTATGTCTGGAATTTTTTCTAAGTGAGGATATGTGATGGTTATAAACCTGTAAATTCTGTAACAAAACACAAATGGATGAAACACCAGAGCACTGGAGAAACGTCTGCTTTCCCAGAGACTCCTGGAGGGCACTCGAAATCCTTTGCTGGTTGTTAGCAGTTTAACAAGCATTGGATGAGAACAGGCCCAGGCGTGGGGGAGAATCTCAAGTACAAGGCAAGACTATTAAGGATGTCAAGTGTGGTCTCAAAGAGGCGAGAACCAAGGAGAGTGAAAGCACCACTTACCACTTGCATGGCGGAACTTCGGGGAGGATGGGGCTCTATGAGTAGCTGAGAAGGCGTCTGTCCAAAGCTTCGGATTTGAGCTTCAACAGCCTGAAAAAGGCATGGGCAAGTTTGAGGGTTAAGAGGTGCTAATCACAAGCAATAGAACCACAACTGTCACCTGAAAATGTCATTCCATACTTCTGGCTTGTTTCATGCTGAAAATCAGCCTTGTGTTTCCACAGTGGGGCTGAGCACCTGGCAAGGGCAGTGAGGGTGAGGTCATCCTGTAGTACTGTGGGAGCCATTCCTGCAAAATCCTGCACAACTTTCTCATCTCGCTCAGTGATATGAAACAGAAACCAGCTATTACAATCAGAAATTGTCCTTCTTGGCTTCATTTCTGTTTTCTTGCATTTTTTTGCTGCTTGCATCATCCCCGATGACTAAAGCTAATCTTTTACAGGTATAGAGAAAACCCACTGTGGCTTTGATTCTAGGCCCCATTTCATTCTGGACAGTGGAAAGGAGGAAGAAAGAAACAGAGCACCTGTGAGAATGGCTTGATGCTATTAGTTTTGCCATAGGAAGAGCATTGTTGTTGACAGTCTCTTTGAACTTAGGTGGCTAAGCAACAAAGTAAAAGCCATATGTTGCATCCAAGCATGCGATGGTTAAACCAGAAACTAAACATGTGTGTTATGTGTGTGCCCTGCTCGAAAGCTGTGTGCATGCACCCTGTGCAAGGCACTCCCCTCCAGGCTCTCCTGCACACCTCTACAGATGCTCACTTTCCATCACCAACGACTCCCCCAGCAGGGAAAATAGGAAGTGCCAGATGCCACCACTGTCTGTAATTACTTATTTACTTGTTTATGTTGGATTCTTCCCTCTGAAATACAAGGCCCATGCGAGCAAGGGCCATATATATCTTCCTCACTGTTGGATCCATAAACTGGTTGAATAGATGCTATGCTATGTGGGAGGAAGTGGGAAGCAGAGATATATAAAGACTATTTTTACACTTCCCCAGTCACTGTTTTTAACTTCCAGGATGAAGAAAATCCCAGATTGATAAGAGAATATCTGTTCATCATGTTATTTTTTTAACCTTTAAGAAAACAGGTCTTCAATTTTTATATGCTCTGAAGGGTTATAGTAAATTAATAAATCATAAACAAGAAAATATAATCAATATCCAGCATTAATTTCCTTTTTGTATTTGATGAGAATAGCACTAATAACGTTTTACAACGAACTTGTATGAAACAATGAGCAATTCACTCATTTGTGTACTCAATGATCATCAACTATGTACACAGACAGGTCTCAATGTCTGAAGAATGTCTTCCTAATATAGGTAACTGGATAAGTGTAATTGGATGTTTGAGTAATAGTTGGATGTATTCAGTTCAGGAAGTTCAGGCATGCTCTGTGACTTGTGTGGGCAGTAAGGACCGGCAAGCACCTCTGTGAAAGCTGAGGGGTATGGTGGAGCAGCCTGGGTTTTGAAGTCAAACAGACTGTGTACAAATCCTGAATGCACACCACTTATAAGCGATGTGACCTGGGGTAAGTTATTTAATCTCTCTCAGTTTCTATTTTCTCTCCTGTAAAATGTGGGTAATCATAGTGCCCACTTCATAGTGTTATATTACAAATTAAATGATACAAATGTAAAAATACAGCAAACTGCTTAGTACAGATTAGATGCTCAATACTATGCCGTCAACAAATATTCATTGAGGACTACTAACACAACAATAATGAATCTTTATTTAGTACTTACTATTCACCAGAAACTTTTCTAAATGATTTACAATCATATAATTTCATCTTTAAACTGTATGATGTAATTATAGAGGAGGAAAATAATGCACAAACAACTTAAATATCATGCCCAAGGTCACACAGTAATTAAGTGGCAGGCTCAAAACTGGCATCCAAGCAACTTCATTCTAGATCTTGTACTCTCAACCATTCAGCTATCCTGTCTCCATATCTGTAAGGGCCTATGGCTGGGCCTGGGGATAAGACTAAGCACCAAAAACAAACAAACAAACAAACAAACAAACACAAACAAAAAAGCCAAAAAACACAAAACAAAAACATGAGCTTACAATCTAATGAATGAATTAATAAGGTAGCTCTGTTATCATCACCATCATTATTGCAGTGCACTGAGTTTTTTGGACACAATCAGTAGAGCAGTGTGGCTCGGCAAGGGCTGGGAGGTAAGAAAGGGCCTAGAATTTAGAAACAAGAGGCCAAGAGGAAGTGAAGAACAGAGGCTAGGACCATTTCAGAACTGAATCTCGAGGTTTTTTTTTTGTTTGTTTGTTTGTTTTGTTTTTGATGGGGAAAATCAATTTATGACCAAAATCAAGGAGAGTCTTGAGGTTGAGGAAGAAAAAAAAAAAAAGGCAATGTGAAGCCTAGAAGTAGTCACAAAGAAGAAACTTGGGGCACTGTTATTTTATGATCTGTAGGTTTTGGGGCTGAGTTTATGAATGTGAGCCTTGTGTTTCTGTAAGATAAGTTAGCACAGCTAGTGCCCTTTCCCTGACCACTGCCTTGGTGGTCCCTGCCCAACAGCCCGAATACCTGTTCCCTATAAGAAAGAGGGGGAACAGGCCGTTTCTGCACTTGGCCTATGTTGTCGGATGGTTCAGAGTGCTAACCCTGACTTTACAAATTACCAGCTGTATGACCTTGGACAAGTAGCCAAATCCTGTTTCTCAGCTATAAAACAGAGGTCATAATAATTCCCAGCTCATAGAAATCATTTGGAAAATTAAATAAAATAATAAAGTGCTTAGCACAGTACCTAGCACATACAAAGCACTAAATGAAATGCTATATGGTTATTAGGTGTGGGGCTCAGTGTGATCCCCATTTAACACAGCTAGGTTAGGGAAGGAATAAATACTTCAGGAGTTTATAATGATGATGATGAACACATTATTTCAGAAAACTGAAATCTGGATCAAGGCTTTAAAATACCCGGAGATAGATCTCTTTAGTGGTTCTGAGAGCACTCTAAAACATAAGGAATTATATGCCTTAATCCTGGTGGGAGCTGTGGTATTTGGAAGAAAGAGAAGAATATGCAAACCATGACCCAAGGAAAAATCAAAAAGTCCTGGAGACTGATGATTTCGAACAATGACTAAAAGAAAAAAAGGTGAAAGTAATTGCTTTCTTTTGAACTTGCATATTTGAGAGAGTGGTAAAGTAATGGATGGAAATACAGATTTCTGTTAGGGAGAACATTTGGCAGGAGAAAGACAGCTCATTTTATGTCAGAAGTGGAATCTGAAGTGATAGTGATAGCCATCTCTCCAGGTCGAGATGTGCAATGCAAAAGGAATGCCCAAGACTGGCTCTGAGGTGAGAGATGGGGGCATTGAGCTGGGTGTTACTCGTACAAAAGAAATTTAAGTCATTGGTATTTTCCTCTCACTGTGAATATATACGTGTTGTTTGAAGCAGCAGCAATGACTTTTTCTAATGAAATTTTACATGAACCTCCAATATATAAAAAACACAGAGATAAGGCTGTGTTCTACTTAGAAGGTGGGAGAAGCTTTATTAAGCTTCCTCAGCAGCTCAGAAATGATTCTGAGAAATAGTAGGGCTTTGCAGCACAGTTAGAAACCCAGAGGTTAAGCTGCAGAAAGCAAATACAAGAGACACACTCACACAAGGACCTAGAGCTGAACCCTAGGAAACTCAGGTGTATGGTACAATATGGAGGAGACAGAGAGGAGGGATTGGTAGAGAGGAGCAGGATAGGATGATATGGAAGCTGACAAAGAGAGTTCCAATGACAGAGTGGTCAGCAATGCTAACTACTATAGAGAAACTAAGAATACTGACATTACTACATATAAACCTTTATTAGAGGATCATTGTATAAAGATTTGTGCGAGAATAGGCCTTCCTTCACCTGGTTTCTGGCACCCGTTTTCCTCCAGCACCCAGGACTCAGGTCTTTGCTCCAGCCAGAGTCTTCGATCCGGCTGGTTCGAGTGGCACCAGTGAAGAGGGCAAGCTCCCTGGTTGTGGGGTGGGAACTTCCACCGCATCTTCACTCATGGTACTGGGTCTGGGAGCTTTCAGTCTTCGCTGCCAGCCCAAGCAGCGATGCCAGCGAAGATTGCAAGTTCCTTATCCCACCCCTGACCACTGGGCAGGAACATACACTACGTCGCCATGGTGACACAGAGGAAGTTCCCACCCAGCTGCTGGAAACCTGCAATCTTCACTTGTGGAGCTGGGGATAGGAGCTTACAGTCTTTGCTCATGGCCCGAGCGCCACCCCTGTAGCTCCCTCTGCCCCCTGCTCTGCCTGGTTGCTCTGTGGCTACGTATGCAAATTAACCTGCCACCTTTGTTGTGTTAATTTGCATAGCCAATCCTGATTGGCTGGTGGATGTCGCAGAGGTACGGTCAATTTGCATCTTTCTCTTTTATTAGTGTAGATTATAGATGTATATTTAATGTAACTGGTCTTAATACTACATAACACTGCTTTGAAATAAAAGAAATACTGATGAGAAAACTTTAAAAAATACCAATCCTCTCTTAAACACTTAAAAGTCTTAACATCTATAATAATAAAAGCGTATTATGCTAATTAGATAAGATGGCTGAACAGCAGAACAACTGTCTGGACGACCTTCCGGATGAAACTGGGGCTCTGAGGGCCGAGCCCCTTGCATGAATTTTGTGCACTGGACCTCTAGTTTTAATATAATTTGCACATTATAGACCTCTTTGAGGAAAATAGTTTTTTCTTTTTTAATTTCAGTGGGAGAGAGAAAGATAGAGAAAAAGATAGAATTGTTGTTCCCTTATTTACACATTTTTTGCTTGATTCTTGTATGTGCTTTAAGAAACTAAGCTACCTGGCCAGGGCTTAAGACTTTTTTCAGGTCATGTAATATAGAGGCCTCATTATTCTGTCTCCATAACAGAATACAAGTTATATTATCCAACATAGGTAAAAAATAATTCTCTTTCCAAGTCCTCAAGGCAACTAAAAAGATTATAGAATTCTTAGACCCAAATGCTTTATTTCTTGACTAACCTTTGAATTGTTGGTAATA